CCATCCTCCACACGGCCTCATGGAGCAGCCGGAGAAGCTCCATCCCCCCCATTTGGGACCAAGCAAAAAGCGGCTTTCACACATCTGGCGGTTCGTTTCATCCCCTTTTCCTTGCTTTCCCCCCCTCAAAGCCTTCCAAGGATAATACTTTTTCACAAAGTGAGGAAATGCTGCCTCAGAAACGTGTGAAAGCAGCAAAGCAGGAAAAAAAGCAAGAGCAGGAAACTGGTATAAAGTGTTAAAAATCAATATCAAATAAAAACTCAAGGAATCTCTTATGCCCTAGAAATCTTTAGGAGCAGGAAAAATATCAAACACTTGTTCTGTTTTTAGTGTAAATCTCATTGTAAGAGGGTCACACCAATGGGAGGAAACTAAAATAGCTTTTTTTAGAGAAGTTTTAGGCAAAATACCCCACAACTTTCTTTCACTTCGACTTTTTTCCTGTAGCTTATTGCTCAGAATGAATCCGAAAGGTCTCTTGTGTTCCTGTTCAGAGTTTAAGCTGGAGTTTCACTGGTTTCCTGTGTGTCACAGAGCTGCTTGTGCTTTGCTATAGCCCCAAGCCAGGCAGCAACCACTGCACTGCTAGCAGGGAATCGGGTCACACTCATCCTTCTGCTGAGGAAAACCCCTCGCCCATCACCAAACTCCCGCTTTCCTCCTGCTGGAGGGATCACAGGGAATCATAGAATGAACCAGGCTGGAAAAGACCTTTCAGCTCATCCAGTCCAACCCTTCCCCAGCACTGCCAAGGCCACCACTAACCCCTGGCACTGAGGCCTCGTCTACACAGGCTGTGAACACTTGCAGGGACGGTGACTCCAGCCCTGCCCTGGGCAGCCTGTTCCAATGCCTGAGCACCCTCTGGGCAAGGAATTGTTCCTCAGCTCCAGCTAAACCTGCCCTGGGGCAGCTTGAGGCTGTTTCCTCTTGTCCCATCCCTTGTTCCTTGGGAGCAGAGACCAGCCCCCTCCTGGCTCCATCCTCCTGTCAGGCAGTTGCAGAGAGCGATAAGGTCCCCCCTGAGCCTTCTCTTCTCCACACTAAACCCCCAGGTCCCTCAGCCCTTCCCCATCACACTTGTGCTCCAGGCCCTGCTCCAGCTCCGGTGCCCTTCTCTGGCCCCGCTCCAGCACCTCAATGTCTCTCTTGCAGTGAGGGGCCCAGAACTGACACAGGATTCGAGGTGCAGCCTCACCAGTGCCCAGCGCAGGGGGATGATTAAGTGTTTTCCCTAGAAGGATGAAGCACTTTGATCCTGTGCTTCTGCTTCTGGGGACACCAGCTTTGCATTTAAAATATGTCCAGCACCATCTGCTCTCCCAGTGCATGCTGTGATGTTCTTCACCTCTGATTTTCAGGGGGACTCAGCTCCTCTGCCCCCTCTATGCACTGAGGAGCTCTGGCTGCTCTACCCACCTGCGAACATCCACCTGAGGGGGTGTTGGAGCTTCAGAAAATGCTGTTTGTAGGCAAAACTGTTGATTTTCCAGAGAATGAAGCTGAGAAATTGCTGGGATTCACATTAATAGATTTTTTTAAGGGGAATCACTATTTGCTTGGCTGGCAGCAATATTTCAGGATCTAAATGGGGCTGAAAGCAGGATGAGAGCTCCCTCCTGGCTCACGTGCTCCAGGTGAGATCTGGAGGCAGAGATGCTGATGATGGTGCTGCTTGTCCTCCCAGCATAGAACATCTTCCCCATTCAGTGGTGCTGGAGGGGCTCTTTAGTGAGTAACCAAGAGAAAGGAGTAATTCTTGAGGGGCTGGGACTTCATGGTATGTGGGCAAGATGAGTCGACATCTCCCTAAACCATGGGATGGCTATTCCTACTGATGCCCACATGATCCCTGGGGAAAACTTTAGAGATCTCTTCATACAGTGTTTTTAAGACAAAAAATCTAAGCACTATTACCAGTTTTACTTTGTTTTAACAGCTCTAAAGAATTGAAGTGCTGTTCTTAACCCTGGGCATCCAGCAAGCATCTGAGGGTGCTCCAGGAAGCAGGAGCCAGCACAGGCACTGTGGGCTCTGCCAGGCTTGGCTCCTCCTTTCACCTCCCCTGCAGCCATGGGGCAGTGGGGATGGATAACCCACAGCCAGAGCCTGGATGAGGGCGGCTACTAAAGGAAAGCTGCTAACAAGCTGGAGAGAGGGGGATCTCTGGCTACTGGCAGTGTCTTGGGCAGCCAGCAATTCATCCTGGGGCTGGTAAAGAACCTAGAGCCAGTGTGGAAGAGCAGCACATCACACTGCTATGAGAAACCAGATGGATAATTTGAGCAGAACTTACTGTGATGGAGGCATATCCAAAGCAAAGGCAGGACCAGAGGTGAGAATTCCTCCTCCACTGATGTGTTTCATCTCTTTTCCCAGGGTAAAGCAGCCATCAGCTCTCCCAGCTCTGTTGTCACAGCTTCAATACCAGCCCCATCCCAGGCCAGACACCCACCCATCAGTGAGGGGGAGATCTTCACGATTCCAGGCAGGCTGAGTGAGTAGTCAGTGCAAGTCAATGCTGCTTAAAACCCCAGAAGCTCCCACAGGGTGGAATACTGTGGGTACAGCCATGGTGTCCCATCCAGGAACCATTCCTTGTGGCCAAGGGGTACAAGATGGACTAGTCATCAAGGTTCATTTTCTCTCTTTGGGGTGCTTTTGACTCGAGATCTTAATCTAGAGGGAATAGCAAAGACCAGTATCCCACGTTGCCCCCCCAGCAGTTTTGGAGCGGGAGACTGAGTTGTTTCAGAAGATGCTCCTGGTTTCAGGAATCCAGCCCTCCCTGTGGAGCAAGGACGACGTGATCCACTGGCTGAGATGGGCTGAGACAGAGTTTTCCCTTCGGCCAGCTGACGAAAGCAAGTTTGAAATGAACGGCAAAGCCCTGTGCATCCTCACCAAGGATGACTTCAGATATCGAGCTCCGAGCTCAGGTTAGACTGAGTACAAGGGTGTTTCTGAGGACCATCCAAGTACAGCACAAGCTGTGATATGCTGAGAGGGGCTGGATGGCTCCCAGCAGGCTTTAGGTCTGGCCAGTTGGGTGCTGGAGACAAGGACAACCCTCTACCTTTAGTGCATCTGGACTGTAAATGCTTTGGGATGGGAGCAACTTCTTTGCCTGTAGCACTGAAATCAAAGCAGCAACATCAACTGAGAGAGACTGTAATACAGAATCATCTGAGCAGTCTTCCCTTCCCTGCAGGTGATGTATTATATGCAGTACTCCAGTACATAAAGACTCAACGCAGAGCTCTGGTGTGCAGCCCTTTGCTGAACTCACCCTTCAGAGAAGCCAGAAGCACAGAGAAAGGTATGATGGAGAATGGCAGCTGTCCATCAAACAGAACTTGGCCTCAGCTACAGTGGGTTGCATGTAGCTGGGGTTTGAAGCTCAGGCAGCTGAACCCATCCCATGCTATTTGAGGGTAGCAGGACAGTCCCGGAGGTGGCAGCCAGGTCCAACAAAGTCCAGGTCATCAAGAAAGCTTTTAGTGATGAAGCAGGACTGGCCAGTTCAGGTCTAAGTGGGTCCATGGTGACCAGGTAAGGCTATCGCTACACTAGAAAGTCTATCTATAGATTGAGATCTGGACCAGGGAGGGTTGATAACCAGGCAGAGGCACAGCCCTGGCTAGAAACTAGTCCTCCTGCAGTGTAGCTGGGAGAGGAGTGGGGATCCAGGGCTGAGCTTAAATAGAGCTGGACCAATGGGAGAGGCCCCTGGTGAGGCTGGTCAGGGCCAGGGAGGCTTATTAGTGCTCATGAAGGAAGTGGCTTTGCATCGAGGTGGCTTTGGGAGGGTTTTTTTCAGCTCTTCTGTCAGCTCAGGTGTAGGGTGATGAACATCTTAAACCACTGCAACAATTTACAGCACAAGAGTCTGTGCTCTGGTGCATTCACCTATTCCAGCTTTTCATCCGTATCTGTTCCTCACCCTCCTTGGCATCTCCTTTAATCCCCCTGGACCTCCTGCTGTTCCTGCCTTGGGAAAATCCCAAGCTTTCCTTAGCATCCCCCTTCTCTGTCTGGGCTGATAACCAGCCAGGGCTGTCCCTTCTCACCTAATTCAGAGCTTTGGAAAATCTCCTGGGACCTACTGTAATGCACCACGGGGTTGGTTTGGTTTCGTTTTACTTCTAGGGACAGGCTGCAGTGCTGAGGCTGATCCAGTCGCTGTTTCCTCCTGCCTGTGTTGTGCAGAACAGGCCATGGCCTGCAGCCATGCAGGGCCACTGAACCTCTCCTGTCACAGCTCGGAGGGCAGCTGCAGGGCAGATGCCATCTGCTCTTTTCCTACAACCCTGTCAGCCCCAGTGGATGGGAGAATTGCAGGTAAATCCGAATTTATAGCCTGGTTCCTGAGGGCAATGAGCTTGTGCTTTGTCCTGTTTACCCATCGTGCTCACCTCCATCTATTCTGTGCATCAGCGTGTGCTTCCCTGCCTCAGTTTCCTCACCTGCAAAATTGCGGTTCCTGCTAGTGTTTTGAGATCATAAAATCCCAGCCTGGTTTGTGTTGGAAAGGACCTTAAAGCTCCTCCAGCTCCAACCCCCTGCCAAGCGCAGGAACACCTTCCACTAGAGCAGGTTGCTCCAAGCCCCTGTGTCCAACCTGGCCTTGAACACTGCCAGGGATGGGGCAGCCACAGCTTCTCTGGGCACCCTGTGCCAGCACCTCAGCAACCTCCTAGGGAAGAGCTTCTGCCTCAGAACTAATCTCAATCTCCCCTCTGGCAGGTTAAAGCCATTCCCCTTGTCCTGTCCCTACAGACCCTTGTCCAAAGCCCCTCTCCAGGTTTCTTGTAGGCAAATAATCCATCACAAAAACTGCTGTGCATGAGCTCTGGGCTCTTTTCCTTATTATCGTTGCTAGCACTGTGCAATCCTGTTGCTGACTGACCCTCACTGGAGCCTTAGTGGGAGCTTGGTGCCTATTTATTCTCCCCCAACACTCAGACTGCAGGTTGCTGTGGGATTATGTGTACCAGCTTCTCTCCGACAGCCGCTATGAGCCTTACATCAAGTGGGAAGATAAGGAAGCCAAGATCTTCCGGGTTGTGAACCCAAATGGGCTTGCCCAGCTCTGGGGCAACCACAAGGTAAATGCAGTTGGGAACCAATTTGTCATTCCTGGGCTTCTGCATGTTGCTTTCAGGACCTGTTCTCCAGAGCTGATGGCACAGGGATTGGGAAGGGTGAGACAGTGGGTGCAGTGGTGGGAGATGACAACCTCCTTGTGGTTAAAGAGGGAGGCTTTCTTATCCCCTGGGAAGCAAACTGTGATGGATATGGACGCAGAAGCAAGGCTGGGTTAGAGACTCACACTGCAGCTTGCAATGCCCAAGAACCACCTCAAATGTCCCACATGTGGTCCTGCTGCAGACAGACCTTAGCCACGTGTTGGTGCTTTTATTCAGACCCTCCCCAATTCTCTTCTCCTTCCAGAACCGGATGAACATGACATACGAGAAGATGTCACGAGCGCTCAGACATTACTACAAACTCAACATCATTAAAAAGGAGCCAGGGCAGAAGCTGTTGTTCAGGTGAGTTGGAGCAGATCAGAGAAACGAGCTGCCTGGGGCACTGCAGATGGGGCATGGGAAGGTGGTGGGCTCCAGATGTTGGCAGCTGGTTCATCCAGCAAGATCCCCAGTGACACCAGGTCTGAAGTTCACCTCCAGGCAGAGGAAGGGGTGGAAATAAGCCAGGAGCCTCTTGGTTTCAGTGCTGGCTGCTTCCCTGGGACTAGTTTGGAGTTAAAATGCCAGCTTTGGGCTGGTGAGTGCTGGGCTTTGTTTCCCAGGCTTGGTGCATCCTGGGTGCAAAGCCAGAGCTTGGATCCTTAGCAGAGCCAAGGGATAGTAGATACCCTCTGGCAAGCTCCAGAGCTCAGCTGATGGGGGCAGGAGCTCCAGGATTTACAGCCTGGTTTGGGGCTGGGACATGCTCTTAAAGCCATTCAAAAACTGTATTACAGGTTTTTGAAGACTCCTGGGGAGATCATCCATGAGAAATCCAGCAAGTTGGAGCAGCTGGAGAGCGAGGACCAGGAAGATTTCAAAGAAGACCCACTGGAGGTTTCACCCTAGGAAGTCATTGATGGTGGCACTTGCAGTGCATCACAGACCTGTGCTCTGCTGGGATGTGCTGGTGTCTCTGGCATCTCCTGGACACAAGGCCACAGAGCTGCTCCTGCATTTCAGACCTGCCCTGAGCCAAAGCAGTGACATCTCTGCTCACTTCTCTTCTGTCCTTTGGGGAGGAAGCCTGACATTCTTGCTGTGTAAATTTGAATGCTTGTCTTTAAGCTTCAAACTTGCTGGTAAAGACCATTCTTGCTGCAAGATGTGCTGAGTAGAGAGCACTGGAGCACGTGCGTTGGGTTGAGCACCTACCCAAGTGCTTTTGCAGTGAATCGTGGCCTGGAGCCTGAACACACTGCTCTGGATCTGAGCCACTTCCCCAGTTAGAGAATGGACTTCCATTGCAGAAATTGCAGTCTCACTGTCCTGTGGGGTTGCTCCTGTGGTTAAGGGTGGGATTGTGCTGAACCATCTGCCTGGATCAGGCCTGGCTGGAGCTCCAGGCTGCGTGGATGCCCTAAGCTGGGTTTTTTTTCTCCTTATATTCCTGTTTGTAATTAGCTGAGTAAGTAATGTGAAGATAAACACAGCCAGTAATGAATATTACTCATGGTCAGAAACGTGGTTATTTGCTTTGAGTCAGAAGCAGGAATTCCAGCCCCCCCCCCTCCCCAGCACTGTCAGTGCCCTGCAAGGAATGATTGTGTGTGAAATCCCAAAATAGCCACTACTATTTTCAGATGGCTTTTCATTGATCACATAAACCCATGACTGTTTAAGGTTGAAAATCCCACTTCTTGCTGGTGGAAGGTCTGAAACTGGGGAAATCCAAACCTTCCTCATTGAAAACCAGCTCCTTCGGACACCCGGATCTTGTCCCCAAGCTTGGCAGCCCTGAACCAGAGTGCAGCAGTCTGAGCTGCTCAGCAGCTGATCACAAGTTCATCCAGGTTGGAAAAGACCTTTAAGCTCATAAAGTCCAACCGCTCCCCAGCACTGCCAAGGCCACCACTAACCCCTGGCACTGAGGCCTCGGCTCCACGGGCTGTGAACACTTGCAGGGACGGTGACTCCAGCCCTGCCCTGGGCAGCCTGTTCCAATGCCTGAGCACCCTCTGGAGAAGGAATTGTTCCTCAGCTCCAGCTAAACCTGCCCTGGTGCAGCTTGGTGGGTAAAGACAGTGCAAACACATAGTGTTTTGTAGCTAGGTGACAAGCACAGGTACAGGTTGTGAAGCAGCATTGTGCTTCGTGGCTTATCGGAAAAGGTGGGTTCCTTCCAACCTTGATTTTGCAGCACTGTAGAAATGGTCCTGCTGCCTCATATCTGCTCCAGACCCTTTCCCAAGCCCAAGTTACAGTCTTGGAGCTGCATCAGCACCAACGTGGGGCAGTGATGCTGTGAGTGGGTCTGTGATCTGCCTTGTGAAAAGCTTTGGCAAGGGTTGGTGACTGAGGTTTCCACCAAAACTGGTTGGTGCCAACCTGAAACTACAGTCCCTTTTGCTGTAACTGGTGGTGCTCCTCCGAAACTGCTTTACACCCATTAACTGAAGCCCAGAGACGCTGGTGGGCTGTAGGCAGAGAGAGAGGGTGGTGGGACACGTGA